AATGCGGAAAAAGTCAAGGGGTCTGAATACTTTCCGAATGCACTGTATGTCTGCCTCAGTGTTCCTCTTTGTCTGTATATACAGAGTTCTTGCTGTGAGGGATCGAGAGAAAGAAAGAGAAGGGGACAGAGGGGAGAGAGAGGGGGGGGAGATGACAGATGGAGAGAGACTGAATTCCAGAGTCCATGTATAGGGAGAAAGATACATTGAGATGAAGGGAAAGAGAGAGATTCCGTGTGTGATATATGTGTGTGTGCGCGCGTGTCATGATAGCTAGTGGTAAGGGAGCGCCATGCAGGATGTCCAGATGACACAGGGGTCAGGCTGAAGGTGAAAGGTCATAGTTGTTTCCTGGAGAAGAGAGACTAAATATGAACCAAAACAGACATGGAGAGAGGGATGATGACAGTGAGGGAGAGAGGGATGACAGATGGAGAGAAAGTGAGAGAAAGGTTGTGGTGTAATTTACAGTCGCCATCTTCCTGGTATTTACTTAGACATGTAATGGTAATATGGTAATAACATAGTAATAACTATGTATTAACACTTTTTTTTGAAGTTATTGAATCATGTACTGTACCACAAGGTACTATTTAGTATTAGGTATAAACAGATTTGGTTGATTTCTTTCAAGCAAAATGTAGACATTGTTAAAATAAACCGTTACTGAAAGATAATATGAGAAGAAGGGCAATAGAAAGAGCATTGAAGTGGTAAGTGAGTTTGTGGTGTCTGTCTGCTTTTTCCCTACTGGATAGTGAGAGTAAATGTGTGTGTTAGTGTTTGTGTGAGTGTGTGTGTGTGTGTGTGTGATTGAGGGATCCTCTATGTCAGGGAGGGGCAGAGGCAGGTGGACAGAGAAGAGAGAGTGGGCGAAGGGGGGAGGCCGACAGGGGGATGAGGGAGGGTGACGGGGGGAGGGAGGCCCTCTTCTAATCCTCTATCTGTCAGTCTGTCAACAGAGAGCTCAGCTGTGCCTCCCTCTCACCCCAAACCTAAATATTATTACCTCTCTCCCACTAAGCACTATTACACTTCCAGCTAAGTATTATCATATTCAAATATGACCTTCTACTGCAAACAGTATCAACCTCCTAAAAGTACCAAAGTACCCCAATATCAGGGTGTTCCCAAACCTTATTTCCTCATCCACTAATATTTACCCCATGGCAAAGGTGCCCTCAGGGGTGCATGCTTAGTCCCCTCCTGCACTCCCTGTTCGCGCACGACTCCCAACATCATTATTAAGTTTGCTGACGACACGACGGTGGTAGGCCTGATCACCGACAAAGATGGTGTGGTGCCAGGACAACAACCTTTCCCTCAAAGTCAGCAAGACAAAGCAGCTGATCGTATCCACATTGATGATGCTGTAGTGGAGCAGGTCAAGAGCTTCAAGTTCCTCAGTGTCCAGGAGGAATTAACATGGTCCACACACACCAACAGTCGTGAAGAAGGCACGATAATGCCTCTTCCCCCTCTGGAGGCTGAAAAGATTTGGCACAGGCCTTCAGATCCTCAAAAAGTTATACAGCTGCACCATTGAGAGCATCTTGACTGGCTGCATCACTGCTTGGCAACTGCTTGGCATCCGAACGCAAGGCGCTACAGAGGGTAGTGCGTACGGCCCAGTACATCACTGGGGCTGAGCTCCCTGCCATCCAGGACCTCTATTCCAGGCGGTGTCAGAGGAAGGCACTAAACATTTTCACAGACTCCTACCACCCAAGACTGTTCTCTCTGCTTCTGCATGGCAAGCAGTACCGATGCACCAAGTCTGAAATCAACAGGACCCTAAAAAGCTTCTACCTCCCGAGCCATAACACTAAACTGTTAACCAAATAGCTAACCGGACTATCTGCAATGACTCTTTTGCACTAAATCTTTTGACTCATCACATACACTGCTGCTACTGCTTATTATCTATTCTGTTACCTAGTTTACCCCAAAGTAAAGGGCCCCAAAGTAAACATTTCACTGTTAGTCTACACCTGCTGATTATGAAGCATGTGACAAATAATTTGATTTGGATTTGATTATTTTATCCTTGTTTTTTGTACCTACCAGGTACAACCCTAAATCCGTAAACAAGGGTACCCTCATAGATATCATCCTGACTAACTTACCCTCTAAATACACCTCCGCTGTCTTCAACCAGGATCTCAGCGATCACTGCCTTATTGCCTGCGTCCGTAACGGGTCCGCGGTCAAACGACCACCCCTCATCACTGTCAAACGCTCCCTAAAACACTTTAGCGAGCAGGCCTTCCTAATTGACCTGGCCCAGGTATCCTGGATGGATATAGATCTCATTCCGTCAGTAGAGGATGCCTGGTTGTTCTTTAAAAGTAATTTCCTCTCAATCTTAAATAAACATTCCCCATTCAAAAAATACAGAACTAAGAACAGATATAGCCCCTGGTTCTCCTCAGACTTGACTGCCCTTGACCAGCACAAACACATCCTGTGGCGTACTGCATTAGCATCAAATAGCCCCCGCGATATGCAACTTTTCAGGGAAGTTAGGAACCAATATAAACAAGCAGTCAGGAAAGCAAAGGCTAACTTTTTCAAACAGAAATTTGCATCCTGTAGCACTAACTCCAAAAAGTTTTGGGACACTGTAAAGTCCATGGAGAATAAGAGCACTTCCTCCCAGCTGCCCACTGCACTGAGGCTAGGAAACACTATCACCACCGATAAATCTACAATAATCGAGAATTTCAACAAGCATTTTGCTACGGCTGGCCATGCTTTCCACCTGGCTACCACTACCCCGGCCACCAACTCTGTACCCTCCGCTGCAACTTGCCCATGCCCCCCCCGCTTCTACTTCTCTCAAATTCAGACAGCTGATGTTCTGAAAGAGCTGCAAAATCTGGACCCCTACAAATCATCTGGGCTAGACAATCTGGACCCTTTCTTTCTAAAACTAGCAGCCGAAATTGTCGCAACCCCTATTACTATCCTGTTCAACCTCTCTTTCGTAACGTCTGAGATCCCCAGAGATTGGAAAGCTGCCGCGGTCATCCCCCTCTTCAAAGGGGGTGACACTCTATATCCAAACTGTTACAGACCTATATCCATCCTGCCCTTCGAAAGTATTTGAAAGCCAAGTTAACAAACAGATCACCGACCATTTTGAATCCCACCGTACCTTCTCCGCTATGCAATCCGGTTTCCGAGCTGGTCATGGGTGCACTTCAGCCACGCTCAAGGTCCTAAACGATATTATAACCGCGATCGATAATAGACAGTACTGTGCAGCCGTCCTCATCGACCTGGCCAAGGCTTTCGACTCTGTCAACCACCGCATTCTTATTGGCAGACTAAATAGCCTTGGTTTCTCAAATGACTGCCTCGCCTGGTTCACCAACTACTTCTCAGATAGAGTTCAATGTGTCAAATCGGAGGGCCTGTTGTCTGGACCTATGGCAGTCTCTATGGGGGTGCCACAGGGTTCAATTCTTGGGCCGACTCTTTTCTCTGTGTATATCAATGATGTCGCTCTTGCTGCTGGTGACTCTCAGATCCACCTCTACGCAGACGACACCATTTTGTATACATCTGGCCCTTCATTGGACACTGTGTTAACAAACCTCCAAACGAGCTTCAATGCCATACAACACTCCTTCAGTAGCCTCCAACTGCTCTTAAACACTAGTAAAACTAAATGCATGCTCTTCAATCGAACGCTGCTGGCACCCGCCCACCCGACTAGAATCACTACTCTCGACGGGTCTGACCTAGAGTATGTGGACAACTACAAATACCTAGGTGTTTGGTTAGACTATAAACTCTCCTTCCAGACTCATATTAAGAATCTCCAATCCAAAGTTAAATCTAGAATCGGCTTCCTATTTCACAACAAAGCCTCCTTCACTCATGCTGCCAAACATGCCCTCGTAAAACGGACTATCCTACCGATCCTTGACTTCGGCGATGTCATTTACAAAATAGCCTCCAACACTCTACTCAGCAAATTGGATGTAGTCTATCACAGTGCCATCCGTTTTGTCTCCAAAGCCCCATACACTACCCACCACTGTGACCTGTACGCTCTTGTTGGCTGGTCCTCACTACATGTTCGTCGTCAAACCCATTGGCTCCAGGCCATCTATGAATCACTGCTAGGCAAATCCCCGCCTTATCTTAGCTCACTGGTTACCATAGCAACACCCACCCGTAGTCTGAGCTCCAGCAGGTATATCTCACTGGTCATCCCCAAAGCCAACACCTCCTTTGGCCGCCATTCCTTCCAGTTCTCTGCTGCCAATGACTGGAACGAATTGCAAAAATCTCTGAAGCTGGAGACTCTTATCTCCCTCACTAACTTTAAGCATCAGTTGTCAGAGCACCTTACCGATCACTGCACCTGTACACAGCCCATCTGAAATTAGCCCACCCAACTACCTCATCCCTATATTGTTATTTATTTTGCTCTTTTGCACCCCAGTATCTCTACTTGCACATAATCTCTTGCACATCTAGCATTCCAGTGTTAATACTAATTGTAATTCTTTGCACTATAGCCTATTTATTGCCTTACCTCCATAACTTGCTACATTTGCACACACTGTATATATATTTTCTGTTGTATTTTTTGACTTTATTTTTTTTTACCCCATATGTAACTCTGTGTTGTTGTTTTTATCGCACTGCTTTGCTTTATCTTGGCCAGGTCGCAGTTGTAAATGAGAACTTGTTCTCAACTGGCTTACCTGGTTAAATAAAGGTGAAATTAAAAAAATTAAAAAAATATTTCCTCGATTAGCAGTGGGCCACCTGAGCTATGTTTTAAAAATATGGGGCAGTTGGAAGATTCACTGTGCTTACAATGATCACAACAATTTTTCATTTGATGAGCCCACCCCACCCCTCCAGGTCAGGTTGTGTTCCATAGGTGTCAACATGGCGTCCATAGAGACAGTTTCCTGACCTCTGTAGGACAGAACCCTGAACTAGACTAACTTTCCTGGTCACTGTATGACCTCTCACCTGTGACCTCTGCCCCGTCGGCAAGGGGCGTGTCCGGGGGGGTCTGTGTCTTCGGGGGAGTTGGAGAAGGAGATGAAGGACGGGAGCTTGGTGTTGTGAGGACCCAAGGAAGAGGACGAGGGTGTCCCTGGATCTGCCTGAGCAGAACCCTCTGCAGCCTGAGCATAAGGTAGGACCACTGACAAGCTTGGCCTGAAGAGAGAAGAGGGGGAAGAGAAAAAGGAGGAGATTAGAAAACATTGTTGACATCGAAATGTAATCTAATCTGTGCACATCTGGCAATATAAATGAATGTCTGTGTTTTCTATGCATTTTCCAAAATGTCTGTTTTAAATTAATAATGTAATCTATTCACTCTGTTTTATTTGTTTAAAAAATAAATTGTATCTCATTAATTCCACTTTGTCATTGAATTCTTTTCACAGAGGGCCTGTTCCTGACCACGGTGCGGGCCTTCTTGGCCGTGGAGGGGCCTGTGGTGGGGTTGGGGTTAGGAGCGGTGCGTTTGGCCCTCTGACGGTGCTGGGGCTTACACTGGGTCCCTCGGGGAAAGGAGCCACTACTGGAGAAGTCTGGACACACCAGGGTGTGCTTCTTCTTACACTGGGCCCCTCGGGGAAAGGAGCCACTACTGGAGAAGTCTGGACACACCAGGGTGTGCTTCTTCTTACACTGGAGGAGAGGACAGACCGATACCACTTATGAAACACACAGGAGGTTAACGTAACCCGAGAAGACAGTTTGAGACTGCTCTGTTAGTTACTACACTGAGTGTACAAAACATTAGGAACAACTTCCTAATATTGAGTTGCACCCCCTTTTGTCCTCAGAATAACCTCAATTCGTCGGCGCACAGACTCTACAAGGTGTCGAAAGCGTTCCACAGGGATGCTGGCCCATGTTGACTCCAATGCTTCCCACAGTTGTGTCAAGTTGGCTGGACATCCTTTGGGTGGTGGACCATTCTTGATACACACAGGAAATTGTTGAGCGTGAAAAACCCAGCAGCGTTGCTTTTCTTGACACACTCAAACCGATGTGCCTGGTACCTACTACCATACCCGTTCAAAGGCACACATACAGTTGAAGTCGGAGGTTTACATACACCTTAGCCAAATACATTTAAACTCAGGGCTTTGTGATGGCCACTCCAATACCTTGAGGTCTTGGCTGATTTCTTTTGATTTTCCCATGATGTCAAGCAAAGAGGCACTGAGTTTGAAGGTAGGCCTTGAAATACATCCACAGGTACACCTCCAATTGACTCAAATTATGTCAGTTAGCCTATCAGAAGCTTCTAAAGCCATGACATCATTTTCTGGAATTTTCCAAGCTGATAAAAGGCAAAGTCAACTTAGTGTATGTAAATGTCTGACCCACAGGAATTGTGATACAGTGAATTATAAGTGAAATAATTTGTCTGTAAACAATTGTTGGAAAAATTACTTGTGTCATGCACAAAGTAGATGTCCTAACCGACTTGCCAAAACTATAGTTCGTTAAAAAAGAAATTTGTGGAGTGGTTGGAAAGCGAGTTTTAATGACTCCAACCTAAGTGTATGTAAACTTCCGACTTCAACTGTATACAATCCATGTCTAAATTGTCTCAAGGCTTACAAATCCTTCTTTAACCTGTCTCGTCCCCTTCATCTACACTGATTGAAGTGAATTTAGCAGGTGACATCAATAAGGCATCTTAGCTTTCACCTGGATTCACCTGGTCAGTCTATGTCATGTTCCTAATGTTTTGTACACTCAGTGTATGTGTTCCTAAGTTTTGTTTTTGAGTGCGTGTGCGCGTGAGTGTGGAAGTCATCTTAAGAGCACTATGTGTGCCTGAGTGAGTATACAGATGAGGGTGAGAGTGTGTGTGACAGTGAGAGTGTGTGTGACGGTATAATATGGGTGTAAATTGGTAACTTCATTCTCAGGGAGATTCGATCCCTCCCACCTGTCAGAAAAGCTAATTATAATCACTATGGGGTGCGGGGTGCGAGCCGTGTGTGGGGGGCAGCCTGGAAATAGCGTAAGGGTGGGGGGTAAGGGGTGTGTGTGTGAGGGGTGGGGGTCTGCAGCTCGGGTTTACAGGAACAGTTTGGACTCCAGGACACCCCATGGTCCCCTCAGCCTTGAGCCAGTCCTGGCACCCCTCTCCTCTCCCCGATGAGGCACCTCTCTCTCCACTATACCCCCAACCCCCCACTATAGTATCAGTACCACTAACGCCCAAACTCAGACCCCCTGCCCCTCTCACACCCATGTTCCTGCACCCTAGGGGCCAGATCAGGTTAGTCTTAGACTTAGCTCACTTTCAGCTTTTCTGAGGAGGCAAACCAAAACACTCAAAGTCACACCTTATTGCTATATGTTTTCATGCCCTAATGTAAACATTGACAATATTTGGCAAATTTAGCAAAGCCTGTCTGTCTCTATAATGGTATCAGTCTGTTCCAATTCAAGAGTCTGAGAGCAGAGGTGCAGATTGAAGACACTTTACATTGTTTCTTTTAACCAATCCAACCAAGATGTGCCCAGGGGTCTCTAGACCAGGGAATGGGACCATACAAAGACTTACAACCGTTTTGAGCATTTCTCCAGTGTAAGGAGATGAGGGAAAACTGAGCTAAATGCCAAATCTACTAAGACTCAACTGCCAGCCGTCGAATACATTCTCATTTTCATAAAACACTGAAAAGAGGGAAAGAGAGCGATAGCCGAGAAATTGAAGAGAGAAAAAAGCGGACAGAACATCTTTATTACACACCAAGTTAACACTTTTCCACTTGATTTAGAAAATGCAGGGATGTCTCAGGGGCCTATTAGAAGAGCTCTCTCTCCACTGGGTTCCAAACCAGGATGAGTCAGCACATTTACCATCACAGAGAGACTGGGAGGGAGGGGGGGGGAGAGGAGAGGGGGAAAGAGGGAGGGAGATAGAGGTGGGAAATAAGGGTAAGGGAGAGAGAGGGAGGAGAGGGAAACGGGGATGGATTGGGGTTCAAAGGAGAGGAAGGGAAGTTGAAAGAGTGGTGGAGATGGAGAAACAAGAGAAAGGTGGGAGATCAAGGGAATGAGAGAAGGAGAAAGAGACCAAGAGGGAGAAAATGAGAAAGAGAGAGGTTCAAAAGATAATAGAAAAGGGGGAGAAGAAGGTAGTGGTGGGGGATGGATGGAAAAGAGACAGCGAGAGAAAGAGTGTTAGGGAGGGAGGAATAGTGAGCGCGAGACACGAGAGATGGAACGAGAAAAGAGGACGGAGATGGAGCGAGAGAGGGAGAGGGAGAGTGAAGCGGGGTTAACCCCTAAGCTGCTGGAGTGTATGCCTGCCCCATAGTGCCATCCTCAGCACTTCCTCCATCTATAATTACTGCCTGCTATCCATCACACAGCCGCCACTAGCACACACATGTGCACGCACAAACGTGAGCACACACACACACACACAACCAGACCTAAGCACTTCAGCTAATAGAATCAATATTAATGCCCCTTTTCTTTTATATATCCTCATTTCTCTGTGCGATATTTAAATGAGGCCTGACAGTGTGAAAAAGCATGTGTTACACAGACACTCATAAACAACAACTGAGACAGAGAGAGAGGATTACAGAAGGGAAGGAGGGGATAGATGAACATATATAGGATTGGTAGGGACAGAGACAGAGGAAAAGAGAGGATAGGAGTGGTACTAGGGGTGAATGTGGGAACAGAGTGTGTATGGGAACTCTACATGTTTTGGGGTCATGTGTGTCTGTGTGGCCGTGCACTGTTACCCTCTGGTCCTCAATGTGTCACTCAGACAGTACAGTTATGTCACTATGGACAACCCCTTGCTCCCCACAGCTGTCCCTCCATACCCAGGGCTGTTTGGAGGACTGTTTATATGTTTGTGTGAAGAGTATGGCGAGGGTGTATCAAGTGGTGTAGTGGTGCCTGGAGAAGTGGGTATACTCAAATTTTGCCAAACATTTCCAAACGGTCCGCAAAGGAAAGGTGCCAAGTGTGAAAAATGATTTGAGAAACAGTGACTTACACTCTGAATTACCTAAAATAATCAATCCCATATTGGTCTTTCACAGTCAGGCCAACCCAAGCTGTACTGTGCAGTAAGCTAATAGTAGGCCTAATGTTTGAAACAGATAAATAAGGCTGTCAACTGAGTCAGAAATTCACAAGTTTCAGATTGTACACATTTGTTCAGGTTTTTGCTCTCAAGGTCACACTATTTTAATAGAAAACAACCAAATTGGATGTTCTAAGTACACAACAATGCTTAAACCACATCAGGATTCTTGAGTGTAGTTACCCTTTAATTCAAGTGTTTGGTTAGTAGTGTTTCTGTAGCACATGAGATGGAGTTTGTAAAAGCCTTTGTATCTACCAGAAGACAGTTAGGGCTATCATTTGCATCGCTATATTTTTCATGTTCCTTAATTGTTTGAAACCTGGACATTTTACTTCATATTATGAGGCATGTCTTACCTTGCTTCAAAGTAGCCTATAGCCAAAATCCAACCATAGAAACGTGGAGACAATTATTTTATAAAGACTTCCTCATATGCATTCTCCTGTTCTATTGGCTTTCTTTCAACTTTCTTTCATCATCTAGCAGCCAAAGGCATTATCATAGTCATATTAGCAACCCATGATAGTTGTTGCATCTTTAGATCTCACCTCTGTCCATGAAACCACTCGCATGTGCGGTGTGTATTTTAGATCGGTTTTTCCTGCAAATTGCATTTTGGAACATTCGCACCGTTCTAGGCCTACTTCTGTTGCTGCGCTGAAAATATGAAAAAATTATAGTTTATCAACATTTTAAGCTAAACATTCTGATCTGTTCCATCAGCCCTATTAATTGATATGGCGTATACTTCCACTACACTACTTTGATATGCATCCTGGGGATTAATAAGTGAGTATATGCAATCCCCACTGAAAAATAAGTGGGTATACGGCGTATACCATCCAGTACACCACTGGGTGTACAGTATCTACCTTTTCTACCATAGGTCATTAGATCATGATAGAGAGAAAGAGAGACTGTCTGTGTGTGTGTCCGTGTGTGTGTGACTGACTGACTGTGTGTACGTGTGTGTGAGCGAAAGAGTGTCTGTGTGTGTGAGAGCGAGAGAGTAGGTGTGTGTGAGTGTGCATGCGTGCGTGCGTGTGTGTGTACATGCATATGTGTGGGACTGACTGATTGTGTGTGTGTTTTCTTATGTGTGTGTGTGTGTGTGTGTGTGTGTGTGTGTGTGTGTGTGTGTGTGTGTGTGTGTGTGTGTGTGTGTGTGTGTGTGTGTGTGTGTGTGTGTGTGTGTGTGTGTGTGTGTGTGTGTGTGTGTGTGTGTGTGTGTGTGTGTGTGTGTGTGTGTGTGTGTGTGTGTGTGTGTGTGTGTGTGTGTGTGTGTGTGTGTGTGTGTGTGGGTGTTATACCTTCTCTCCCTGAAGGCAGTATCCCCTGTAGCTCAATTGGTAGAGCATGGCGCTTGTAACGCCAGAGTAGTGGGTTCGATCCCCGGGACCACCCATACGTAAAAATGTATGCACACATGACTGTAAGTCGCTTTGGATAAAAGCATCTGCTAAATGGCATATTATTATATTATTAAGTCCTGGCACACAGCAGCCTTGCGGGACATGTAGACATGGCTGTAGGGACGCTATTGTTGTTACATATACCCCTCAGGTAGAACGAACACACAGACATCTAGAGAGAGAGAGAAGTTGTTGTTACGAATCTCTGCTTGGCAATATATCCATACAAATGTCATACCAATAAAGCATTTAAAATTAAATTGAAAATTGAATTGAGAGAGAGAACGAGAGAGGCAAGACAGAGAGAGAGTAAAGAGAAAGAAAGAGTATAAATTCATAGCATACTAGAGAAAACATATTCAGCTGTGGAGTTAAAGAAGTCAACAAACCAAACCACCATTCAAATAGGTCCCATCTTCGACAATCTGTCACTGCCTCTGCTGTTAAATGGCCTTAATTGCAGTTGATAGAGAAAGAGAGAGTACACACTCTCTCTTTCTCTGTCAACTGCAATTAAGGCCGTGTGTGTGTGTATGTGTGTGTGTGTGTGTGTGTGACAGCAGGCATGCAGGTGTGTGTGAAATGTCCTTGTGTGTGTGAGTAAGGTACACTGTGTGAGAGTAGTGCAGGCCAGTCTAAATATAACGCATGTAGAGAGAGGGATAAAGAGAGAGAGGTGCGAGACAGAGAGAGAGACAGAGAGCAAGGGAAAAGGAGCAAGGAGAGGGAGAGCGCTATACAGAGAGGGCCAGGGTGGGGTCGGGGGTAATGAGAGAATCAGGGCAGCTCGTTGGGATGGGATCAGTTCTACCTAATTAACTGCTACAGAAATATTTATCCAGGCCACAGCTTGTCCAGCTAGCTATCATGATGCGTTTATGTGCTGGCTGTGTGTACGAGTTACGGTCGCCAGGGCCTGAGGGGGTAGGAAGGGGGGACGGGCGGAGGTGAGGGTTACAGAGGATCTAGTTTCGGGAGTTATTTCTGGGGGGGTACAGGATTGGGGCTCCTCGCCTATCCCCAGTCCCTACTAGTATGTGTGTGTATTGGATTGCGAGGCTGGACAGGACACCTGTCAGTGAGTTGTTTGTCTAGAGGAAAACATATTTCGCTATCTAGTGTAACCGTTTTCCTTTACCCTATACGGACTGACCTAGTTACACTCTGACCAAAAACACCACTACATGACCCTATTCTATGCTATGGGGCCAGATAAACTAATGAGACATTTTAACTACACTTATTACTATGTAACTATATATTTAGTAGCTATGAAGTAGAATTAATAATCAAAGATTAACCATTATGTTGAGTGTTGGTAGTACTAAACATGTGATTATTATCTTTTAGTTTGACCTCTTTCTCTGTTAGAGAGAGAGTTGTTTAGATGAAGTTTAAGATGAAGCCAATGATCTATACAGAACAAAAATATAAACGCAACATGTAAAGTGTTGGTCCCATGTTTCATGAGCTGAAATAAAAGATACCAGACATTTTCATTATGCACAAAAAGCTTATTTCTCTCATATGTTGTGCACAAAATGTAATAGGAATGTCCACCAGAGCTGTTGCCAGATAATTGAATGTTCAATTCTCTACCATAAGCCGCCTTCAACGTCGTTTTAGAGAATTTCTCAGTACGTCCAACCGGCCTCACAACCGCAGACCACGTGTAACCACGCCACCCTAGGACCTCCACATCCGGCTTCTTCACCTGCGGGATCATCGGAGATCAGCCACCCGGACAACTGGTGAAACTGAGGAGTATTTGGCTGGATGTGGAGGTCCTAGGCTGGCCCTGGCTCCCCCATGGTTGTGCCCCTGCCCAGTCATGTGAAATCCATAGATTGTCTCCTGAGTAGCGCAGTGGTCTAAAGCACTGCATCGCAGTGCTAACTGTGCCACTAGAGATCCTGGTTCGAATCCAGGCTCTGTCGCAGCCGGCCGCGACTGGGAGACTCATGGGCGGCGCACAATTGGCCCAGCATCGTCCAGGGTAGGGGAGGGAATGGCCGGCAGGGATGTAGCTCAGTTGATAGAACATGGCGTTTGCAACGCCAGGGTTGTGGGTTCGATTCCCACGGGGGGCCAGTATATAAAAAAATAAATAATAATAATAATAATATGTATTCACTAACTGTAAGTCGCTCTGGATAAGAGCGTCTGCTAAATGACTAAAATGTAATTTATTTATTTCAATTGACGGATTTCCTTATATGAACTGTAACTCAGTAAAATCGTTGAAATTGTTGCATTTTGCATTTATATTTTTGTTCAGTGTAGAATTAGGCCTTTATATTTTCTTGGATTTTATATCAATGTCGATGTCAATGTTTTTAACCAAATGTAACCAGTTTTGAAACGAGAGTCACACTTCTGACCTACAGTGGGGAAAAAAGTATTTAGTCAGCCACCAATTGTGCAAGTTCTCCCACTTAAAAAGATGAGAGAGGCCTGTAATTTTCATCGTAGGTACACGTCAACTATGACAGACAAAATGAGAGAAAAAAAATCCAGAAAATCACATTGTAGGATTTTTCATGAATTTATTTGCAAATGATGGTGGAAAATAAGTATTTTGTCAATAACAAAAGTTTCTCAATACTTTGTTATATACCCTTTGTTGGCAATGACACAGGTCAAACGTTTTCTGTAAGTCTTCACAAGGTTTTCACACACTGTTGCTGGTATTTTGGCCCATTCCTCCATGCAGATCTCCTCTAGAGCAGTGATGTTTTGGGGCTGTCGCTGGGCAACACGGACTTTCAACTCCCTCCAAAGATTTTCTATGGGGTTGAGATCTGGAGACTGGCTAGGCCACTCCAGGACCTTGAAATGCTTCTTACGAAGCCACTCCTTCGTTGCCCGGGCGGTGTATTTGGGATCATTGTCATGCTGAAAGACCCAGCCACGTTTCATCTTCAATGCCCTTGCTGATGGAAGGAGGTTTTCACTCAAAATCTCACGATACATGGCCCCATTCATTCTTTCCTTTAGTCGTCCTGGTCCCTTTGCAGAAAAACAGCCCCAAAGCATGATGTTTCCACCCCCATGCTTCACAGTAGGTATGGTGTTCTTTGGCTGCAACTCAGCATTATTTGTCCTCCAAACACGACGAGTTGAGTTTTTACCAAAAAGTTATATTTTGGTTTCATCTGACCATATGACATTCTCCCAATCCTCTTCTGGATCATCCAAATGCACTCTAGCAAACTTCAGACGGGCCTGGACATGTACTGGCTTAAGCAGGGGGACATGTCTGGCACTGCAGGATTTGAGTCCCTGGCGGCGTAGTGTGTTACTAGCTCTCTGCAGGTCATTCACTAGGTCCCCCCGTGTGGTTCTGGGATTTTTGCTCACCGTTCTTGTGATCATTTTGACCCCACGGGGTGAGATCTTGCGTGGAGCCCCAGATCGAGGGAGATTATCAGTGGTCTTGTATGTCTTCCATTTCCTAATAATTGCTCCCACAGTTGATTTCTTCAAACCAAGCTGCTTACCTATTGCAGATTCAGTCTTCCCAGCCTGGTGCAGGTCTACAATTTTGTTTCTGGTGTCCTTTGACAGCTCTTCGGTCTTGGCCATAGTGGAGTTTGGAGTGTGACTGTTTGAGGTTGTGGACAGGTGTCTTTTATACTGATAACAAGTTCAAACAGGTGACATTAATACAGGTAACGAGTGGAGGACAGAGGAGCCTCTTAAAGAAGAAGTTACAGGTCTGTGAGAGCCAGAAATCTTGCTTGTTTGTAGGTGACCAAATACTTATTTTCTACCATAATTTGCAAATAAATTCATTAAAAATCCTACAATGTGATTTGCTGGAATTTTGTTTCTCAATTTGTCTGTCATAGTTGACGTGTACCTATGATGAAAATTACAGGCCTCTCTCATCTTTTTAAGTGGGAGAACTTGCACAATTGGTGGCTGACTAAATACTTTTTTCCCCCACTGTATTTGTGATTGACCCAGTTCAGTTGTGTGTGTGTCTGTCTGTGTGTGGGTGTGTGTGTGTCTCAGACCTTTCACAAGAGTATTGGGTTTGTGTGACTGGCCGTGAACATGTTGGGTATGTGTAACCAGCTGTTTGTACGTGTGTGTTCTAGTTAATTAAGGGGTTGTGTACTCATACCACTCTCTCTGTACCCATGCCTATTAAGGTGTACGTGTTCAGGTGTAAACCATGTTGGGTCATCTGAAACCTGGGACAGGGACCACCATTTCGGTCATGATACCCCCATCGCCCCATACCCCTACTCCTTTCAATACGTACCCCCTAACCATAGAATCAGGTCACGTCTCTGAGTGTGTACACTACCAGTGGGAGTGTGTGTATGTGTTTGCGTGTGTATCTTAATACTGCCAGTGATAGCACAGAGACAGGAGCTGTGCCAATCGTGTGAACATGACTCTAGCTGTATCTCTATACACCACTCCTTACACCAACCATAACTCTATACACCACTCCTTACACCAACCATAACTCTATACACCACTCCTTACACCAACCATAACTCTATACACCACTCCTTACACCAACCATAACTCTATACACCACTCCTTACACCAACCATAACTCTATACACCACTCCTTACACCAACCATAACTCTATACACCACGTATTGTATGAGACATGTCTCCATATCTATCTCTGGGTGCAAAACTAACAGTCGGGTCCTAATGCAATCCATTTCATTACCTCCTAGCATTAATTCTTCAATGTTTGCAGATCTGTAAGTGTGTGACACCATATTCTCACCTCCTCCCTGGCTATATACCTGACGGGGCCAAATGCTAACTGACTAACTACACAGTACACTCCAACCCAGCTGGTGTGAGGGAGACATTGACGTTTCACATACTCTCACCTCAAGGTCGTTGTGTGTGTGTTTGTTGCCACATAGTTTCACCTTCTCCTTGGCCACCTTATGGGAGAATGGACAGGTCCCGCCTGTCTGCTTACACGTACCCCACAGGAACCTGCAGGAACCAATGGGAAGAGTCATCAGATCACAGAGCAGCCAATCAGAGAGCCCACACAGTCTGTACAGGTAGTTTTGAGGGGATCTGTGCATGTTAGGTGTGTGTGTGTGTTACCTGGTACAGATGGCCACCTAATCAGGATAATGGATGTAGGGGCAGGTATTGCCACGGTTACACTTGCCAAAAGCGGTTGTAGTACATGCAGTACTGTTTCTGGGACTTCTTCTGACGAGCATGTCTGATGACGGCTAGACTCCTCTGAACCGCACGACTGGAGGACAGAACACACACAATCAAGAAAACATATAGTTGTAAAACTACAGTGAGGGAAAAAAGTATTTGATCCCCTGCTGATTTTGTAAGTTTGCCCACTGACAAAGAAATTATCAGTCTATAATTTTAATGGTAGGTTTATTTGAACAGTGAAAGACAGAATAACAACAAAATAATCCAGAGAAACGCATGTCAAAAATGTTATAAATTGATTTGCATTTTAATGAGGGAAATAAGTATTTGACCCCCTCTCAGTCAGAAAGATTTCTGGCTCCCAGGTGTCTTTTATACAGGTAACGAGCTGAGATTAGGAGCACACTCTTAAAGGGAGTGCTCCTAATCTCAGTTTGTTACCTGTATAAAAGACACTTGTCCACAGAAGCAATCAATCAATCAGATTCCAAACTCTCCACCATGGCCAAGACCAAAGAGCTCTCCAAGGATGTCAAGGACAAGATTGTAGACCTACACAGGGCTGGAATGGGCTACAAGACCATCGCCAAGCAGCTTGGTGAGAAGGTGACAACAGTTGTTGCGACTATTCGCAAATGGAAGAAACACAAAAGAACTGTCAATCTCCCTCGGCCTGGGGCTCCATGCAAGTTCTCACCTCGTGGAGTTGCAATGATCATGAGAATGGTGAGGAATCAGCCCAGAACTACACGGGAGGATCTTGTCAATGATCTCAAGGCAGCTGGGACTATAGTCACCAAGAAAACAACTGGTAACACACTACGCTGTGAAAGACTGAAATCCTGCAGCGCCCGCAAGGTCCCCCTGCTCAAAAAAGCATATATACATGCCCGTCTGAAGTTTGCCAATGAACATCTGAATGATTCAGAGGAGAACTGGGTGAAAGTGTTGTGGTCAGATGAGACCAAAATGGAGCTCTTTGGCATCAACTCAACTTGCTGTGTTTGGAGGAGGAGGAATGCTGCCTATGACCCCAAGAACACCATCCCCACGGTCAAACATGGAGGTGGAAACATTATTCTTTGGGGGTGTTTTTCTGCTAAGGGGACAGGACAACTTCACTGTATCAAAGGGACGATGGACGGGGCCATGTACTGTCAAATCTTGGGTGAGAACTTCCTTCCCTCAGCCAGGGCATTGAAAATGGGTTGTGGATGGGTATTCCAGCATGACAATGACCCAAAACACATGGCCAAGGCAACAAAGGAGTGGCTCAAGAAGAAGCACATTAATGTCCTGGAGTGGCCTAGCCAGTCTCCAGACCTTAATCCCATAGAAAATCTGTGGAGGGAGCTGAAGGTTTGAGTTGCCAAACGTCAGCCTCGAAACCTTAATGACTTGGAGAAGATCTGCAAAGAGGAGTGGGACAAAATCCCTCCTGAGATGTGTGCAAACCTGGTGGCCAACTACAAGAAACGTCTGACCTCTGTGATTGCCAACAAATGTTTTGCCACCAAGTACTAAGTCATGTTTTGCAGAGGGGTCAAATACTTATTTCCCTCATTAAAATGCAAATAAATTTATAACATTTTTGACATGCGTTTTTCTGGATTTTTTTGTTGTTATTCTGTCTCTCACTTTTCAAATAAACCTACCATTAAATTTATAGACTGATCATTTCTTTGTCAGTGGGCAAACTTACAAAATCAGTAGGGGATCAAATACTTTTTTCCCTCACTGTATGTGCAGGTAGCAGAGGGTGTGTGTGTGTGTTTGCATACTAAAGTGCCTACCTAGCCACAAAACAAGTGCTGGAGGGCCGGATGAAAGTGCTAGAGGTGGTGTGGGAGATTTCCTGTGGACTGGACCACCTCACTGTTTGGGGAAAATAGAACATTAGATACAGACATAGTTGATATCTTTGCAATGCTTTCTGTCTTTCAAATTACACTGAACAAAAATATAAAGCTTATTTCTCTCAATTTTTGTGCACACATTTTTTTACATCCCTGTTAGTGAGCATTTCTATTTTGCCAAGATAATCCATCCACCTGACAGGTGTGGCATATCAAGAAGCTGATTAAACAGCATGATCATTACACAGGTGCACCTTGTGATGGGGACAATAAAAGGCCACTCTAAAATGTGCAGTTTTGTCACACAACCCAATGCCACAGATGTCTTAAGGGAGGGTGCAATTGGCATGCTGACTGCAGAAATGTCCACCAGAGCTGTTGCCAGAGAATTGAATGGTCATTTCTCTACCATAACCTGCCTCCAACGTCCTTTTAGAGAATTTGGCAGTACGTCCAACCGCCCTCACAACCACAGACCACGTGTAACCAAGCCAGCCCAGGACCTCCACATCTGGCTTCTTCACCTGCGGGATTGTCTGAGACCAGCCACCCGGACAGCTGATGAAACTGTGGGTTTGCACAACCGAATAATTTCTGCACAAACTGTCAGAAACTGTCTCAGGGAAGTTCCTCTGTGTGCTCGTCGTCCTCACTAGGGTCTTGAGCTGACTGCACTTCTGCTTCAAAACTGACTTCAGTGGGCAAACGCTGGAGAAGTGTGCTCTTCACGAATGAATCCCGGTTTCAACTGTACCGGGCAGATAGCAGACAGCATGTATGGCGTCGTGTGGGCGAGCGGTTTTCTGATGTCAACGTTGTGAAAGAGTGCCCCATGGTGGCAGTGGGGTTATGGTATAGGCAGGTATAAGCTATGGACAACTAACAGAATTGCATTTTATCAATGGCAATTTGAATGCACAGAGATATCGTTAGAAGATCCTGAGGCCCATTGTCGTGCCATTCATCAGCCACCATCACCTCATGTTTAAGCATGATAATGCACAGCCCCATGTCACAAGGATCTGTACAGAATTCCTGGAAGCTGAAAATGTCCCAGTTCTTCCATGGCCTGCATACTCACGAGACATGTCACCCATTGAGCCAGTTTGGGATGCTTTGGATCGATCTGTACGACAGCGTGTTCCAGTTCTCGCCAATATCCAGTAACTTCGCATAGCCATTGAAGAGGAGTGGGACAACATTCCACAGGCCACAATCATTAGCCTGATCAACTATATTCTAAGGAGATGTGTCGCGCTGCATGAGGCAAATGGTGACCAGATGCTGACTGGTTTTCTGATCCACGCCCCTATCTTTTTTGTGCACCGGGGCCTCCCACTCCTCTTTCTATTCTGGTTAGAGCCAGTTTGCGCTGTTCTGTGAAGGGAGTAGTACACAGCGTTGTACGAGATCTTCAGTTTCTTGGAAATTTCTCGCATGGAATAGCTTTATTTTCTCAGAACAAGAATAGACTGATGAGTTTCAGAAGAAAGTTATTTGTTTCTGGCCATTTTGAGCCTGTAATCGAACCCACAATTGCTGATGCTCCAGATACTCAACTAGTCTCAAGAAGGCCAGTTTTATTGCTTCTTTAAATCAGCACAACAGTTTTCAGCTGTGCTAACATAATTGCAAAAGGGTTTTCTAATGATCAATTAGTATTTTTAAATTATAAACTTGGATTAGCAAACACAACGTGCCCTTGGAACACAGGACTGATAGTTGCTGATAATGGGCATTTGTACGCCTATGTGGATATTCCATAAAAAATCAGCCGTTTCCAGCTACAATAGCCATTTACAACATTAACAATGTCTACACTGTATCAATTTGATGTTATTTTAATGGACAAAAAAAGTAATTTTCTTTTGAAAAAACAAGGAATTTCTAAGTGACCCCAAACTTTTGAACGGTAGTGTATATATTTAGTTTTTAGCGTCAATATACAGATAACCATATTTTAACCATATTTTACCATAGGTATGTGGTACTTTTCTGCATATGCTTGTGTTTTTCATCGTCAAACCCACCACTGGTGTGCGTGGACAAAGAGCAGTCCATAAGCGCAGACAAAGGATATCAAGGATCTGGAAAGATTCTGTATGGAGGAACGGTCTAAGATCCCTCCCAATGTGTTCTCCAATCTCATAAAACACTTTAGAAAAAGGCTCAGTCTCGTTCTCCTCGCAAGGGTAGGTGCTGGAGTACTGGAAACAGGGGTGGCAATAATTTTGACCGCAATGTTTTATTTTAATATTTTATTACTATTTTTCTCTGAGCAAATGTATTAGTATAAAATAATTTCCCCCTTTTTTTGAGCATGCAATATAGCTCAGTATTTGTATTATTTATTTGATACAATCTTTTTAGCAAATTTTTATTAAGGGTGCCAATAATTATGGACCTGACTGTATGCAATTTGTCATAAAAAATAGTTTACATTTAAAGGTAGCATAAGATAAAAGGGTTATTGGTAGAATCGTTCAAAGAGGGTTCTAGGAAGAACCTTTAGATGATAACAGGGTTCTTGGTAGAACCATTTATAGAGGGTTCTAGGTAGAAACCTCTGCAAAGGGATCTACCTAGCACCAAAAAGGGTTCCCATATGGGGACAAGCTGAAGAACCCTATATGGTTCTACATAGCACCTTTTTTTCTAAGAGTGTACAGAGACCTGATAGCTCTCCAAGCCTCTAGTTTTGGAGGGAGGGAGGGAAGGAAGGAATGAGATACGGGTATGGTGGAAAAGAGGGGGGAGGTAAGGTAAGGAGGCTTGATACCTAGCCAAGTCTCTAATTCTGGAACATTTCAGGTGTAAAATATATCCTCTTCATCAGTGTGTGTTCCTGTGATCTTGTCACTATGATGGGAGGCCACTGGCAGATGACCAGCAAAAGAAGAGAAGTAGTGTAATCTCAGCTAACTGGACTGGTGAGATCTGAAATTATAACTGCTGTGGTGGTGGACACTGAAGGCATGTTC